TTGCAAGATCTGAAACAGTGAACACAAATCTGAAAATTTTGATTTCCAAGTAAACCAAGAAACGTGAATTTAAATTTGTGTATATAAATGTAAGATATCCATGTAGCATAAACATTGAAAATCATCAGTTCCTTCCAATAATACTAATACTAAGATGTCACTTGAGTAATCTTAGAAATTACCTGCAAATAATATTGCTTTTTCGCTATTACGCGGTAGATCGTTCTTAAATATGTATATTTTCTGGACTGTGCTTATAAGAACTGATAAATTTGGTAGAAATCAATACTCATATAGAATGCCAAAAAACAGAAACTAACTTAGATATTTTAATTTTAATTTTATTTTAATTTAATGATTTATTAGTTAAAATTGTTTCTTCAATAGCTTAATTATATGAAGTAGTTACTAGAGATCACGTATGGAGCCCTTTCCCCTAAAATCCAAAACCACCCAACCTTATCTTTCCCAGCCAGTCCCCACCCAACGACCACCTATTCCGGCGAATGATGCTGATGGCGATCAGTTAGTGGCAAAAAATCCTAACCTTCCTGGCCCCACGCCACATATTTACCCACTACCACAGGCGGCGGCCCTAGGTGGGAACCCTAGCGCCGCCGCTCGATCTGGTGCCTGGGCCGTCGCGGGTTTAGGCGACGGTATGAAGAAAACTAGGACCAAAACACAGATTTACCAGCATCCACACACAGATCTGGCTAACACGCCTCACCGATGCTTCGAGCAGTGCATTCTGACTCCAGTGGGACCACCTCGCGCTGCTCCGGCGGTGCCCCGCCAGCGCGTGTAGCCCACGCGCCGGAGCTGGAAATTCAAGAAATCCGGAAGATCATCCCCAGTGTCATTGGCAGGCCCATTTTGTCATCTGATGTTCCGTTTCTTCAAAATCAGAGGAAAAAACGGGTGGATGCATATGGAATGGTATTTAATCGGCGAGTTAGAGTTGAGACAAAGGAGTTTGAGGTGTCTATTAACGAATTAGGTACCGTTAGGATAATAGAGTGGGGATCG